GTTTGACGGCCCCCCAATGAGCTTCCGAGGGAGAGTGCTGATACTGAGACACATGGTTCACTGCAAAAGAGATATCAGGACGAGTAAAACTCAAGTACTGAAGACCACCAAAAAGACTCCGATAAAGAGCAGGCTCGGCAAATGGTGGGGAGGTGTCAAGAGCACTTTGCTGAATGATGTCAACTGTGGAGGGCGTGGAAATTGAGTTGGCGGCTGCCATCTTTGCCCGATCGAGTAGCTCATTGATAAATTTACGCTGACTGAGGAGTATACCAGAAGCAGATCGATGAACCTCGATGCCAAGAAAATAAGAGAGATACCCAAGATCCCGAAGGGCGAATTTGGCGTTGAGGTAAGCCATAAGATGCTGCAGGAGCGGAGAAGAATTTCCGGTGAGCACAATATCGTCGACGTAGACAAGCATGTAGAGGCGCACAGTACCAGACTTATATATGAAGAGAGACGGATCAGTTCGAGAAACACAAAACCCAAACTGAACCAAAGCTGCGGCCAGACAACCAAACCATGTGCGCGGAGCTTGACGGAGGCCGTAAATACTCTTCCGAAGACGGCAAACATGATCCGGTTTGTCGGGATCCACAAAGCCCACTGGTTGGCGCATATAAACTGTTTCCTGTAACTCACCATGAAGAAAAGCATTAGCAATATCAAGCTGATGCAAATGCCAGTTTTGAGTGACGGCAAGCCCAAGAACAAGGCGCAGCGTTGCAGGACGAAGAACAGGGCTATAGGTCTCGTGAAAATCAACACCCGGAATCTGTTGAAAACCACGAGCAACCAATCGGGCTTTGTCACGTTCAATGCTCCCATCGGCGTGGTATTTGGTGCGAAACACCCATTTGTTGGTGAGGAGATTACAATCCGCCGGCGGAGGGACTAAATCCCAAGTATGATTGCGAATCAAGGCTGTAAACTCGTCGGTCATGGCGGCGCGCCAGCGGGGAAGCTTGAGGGCCTGAGCAGCCGAGGTGGGTGTGTCATTAAATGAAGGAGGGTGAGCAAGGAAGGTTTTGGGCTTAAGATGTCCTGTTTTGATGCGGGTGACCATGGGATGGTTGGAGGCAGTGGGATTGGTGATCAGATAAGGCTGAGGGGAAGTGGTGAAACGAGGGCGAGGAGGAAGGGGTTTGCGGGGAGGAAGGGGAGTGGGACGACGAGGGTCGGAAGCAGAGGCGGTCGAGGGCGAGGGGTGTGGGTCGGGCTGAGGGGTAGGAAAAGTGAGCTGAATAATAGAGTCGGGTGGGCTGGGAGGAGGGTTAGGAGTAGAAGGTTGGATAATGGAGGCGGGTGGGGTGAGAATAGGGGACGGTTGTGGGCTAGGGGTGGGTTTCTGGGTTGAAGAGGTAGAGGTGTGGGCCTGGATATGACAGGGAGGGAGAGTGGGTAAAATAATGGGATTTGGGCTAGGAGTAGATGACGGACAGGAAGAGGGAGACTGAATCTCAGTGAAGGGAAATTTAGCTTCATCAAATAATACATGGCGGCTGACATAAATACGACCTGTGGGTGGATGAAGGAAACGATAACCTTTATGAAGTTTGCTGTATCCAAGAAAAACACAAGGAACAGAACGGGGATCGAGTTTGGACGAAGTGATCGGACGCAGCCAAGGGTAACAGAGACAACCAAACACCCGTAAGTTTGAAAGATCCGGGGATCGGTTAAACAATGTAAAAAATGGAGAATTATGATTGAGGAGAGGAGTAGGTGTACGATTGATGAGGTAGCAAGCAGTATCAAAGGCAAGCGTCCAATATTTTTGAGGAACTTGAGCATGATGCAAAAGAGCAAGGCCATTATTCACGATATGACTGATATGATCCCAAATCGGCCGCTCTACAAGTTGGGATTACTTAATGAAGAAGCAAGCTCAAACTGCCTGAAGAACATTCATTTTTGTCAGTGTCATTTTCCGTGTTCAGGCAGCCGACTTTGGAGGCAGGTTTCTCTTAATTGGCTCAATGGAAATTCAAGTTTAATGGCTTGTATTGAACATGGAATGATTATCTACACACTGGTATGCTTGGTTGCTCAATTAGAAGTCATTAAGGTTGTTTTCCAAGGCCTCAAAAATGCCACCTCAAAACTGGAAAACTGCCAGAAAATGGCTAAGGCAGAAAACTGTGTTGAGATACCAACTTTGGAGGCCTATATCTGGAGTTTGGGGAATGATCTCGAGCTGTTTCAAGTTGGAGGTGAAAGAGGGAGTTTTCTTCTACAGAGGAAAGGAATTGGTTGAGTTTGAGTCAACTTGGAAGGCTTTGATCGAGAGGCTCAAAGATGGCATCAAAGCTGTTTGGTTACTTGGAGTTAAAGGCAGATTTTCCTTTTCTTGTTTAGTTAGGATTTCGTTGTTTTGGTAGTTTTTTATTCCTTTTCGTATTAGACTGTAATTAGGAGTTTATGGGACGTGTGTAACCCTAGCTAGGCCTATTTAAGCTTTCTATTTCGTTGTAAAACTCAGAGTTGATTGAATAGAAAAGAAACCGTTTGGTTTTGCAAGTTTGCGAACTTGTTTTGGGTTTGGTGGATTCCAAACTTGCTGAGCTTGTGTATCGATTGAATAGTCACTTCAATCGTGGTCGAGCAACTACCCTTTATACCAATCGAGCTATCCCCAGGTGTGGATTTGTCCTTTTGGTTCCGTTTTATCCAAGTTCGTATTAAGAACGCTTCGTTCTTGATTCGAGCTCAATCGATTCCTCGATTGAGTCGTTGCTGCGTTACTTTGATAAAAATACACCCTCCAGGGTCGTATCAAGTGGTATCAGAGCCCCGTTCAACGCAGGGGCAAGGAGGAGAACGAGATTCTGCTTTAGTTCTGTTTTTCTTTGCGGGCAGAAATAGTGGAGAAGCGGAGAGTCCTTTGTCAACGAGCAGACGATGGGAACTCAACAAATTGACTTGGAGGAATTGAAGAAGTTGGTAACAGAGGCATTTAATGCAACACTCCAACCCAAATTCGACCGTATTCATCGACGATTAGATGAACTCAACGCTGCTACAGAAGGTCGACTCTGTTTTCCTACGGCAAAACAGAGGTTGAAGACTGCGGAAGATGTCGATGAGAAAACTGCCAATTCAAAGGATGTCGTTGCTTTTGGTGAGCTTCTAGAAAGCGAAGGAAGGAGATCTCCAACACTAGGAGTTGCAGGTAAGAAGGGAATCGAAGGTTCTTCCATCAATTATGCAGTAGGCGGCAGTCTCTGTTTTCCTCCGATAAAACAGAATTGGTATTCTGACGAAATCGTGGAGACGCTAGGGGAAGATTCGAGCCTTGCCACAACTACAGCTGAGTTTCTAGTAGGTAAAGGAATGGATTCCATGCCAATAGCACACCCAGATCAGCCGGAAACCAAGACGCCCATCGGAATCGGTCATCTCTGTTTTCACCCGGTGAAACAGAACTCGAGTTCTGCTAAAGCTGTCGTGGGCTTTGCGGTTGATTCAAGAGAAGTCCATGCCACGAATGAGTTTCTGAATGGTCACGGGATGTTTTCCATAACACCACCAAGTCCAGATCAGAAGGAACAAGAGGGGATTGAGCCCTCGAATGCACGCCCAGAACTGCAGAAGTACAAATCCGGAATTGGTGAAAATATTTACAGCGACGGCTCGACAATTAATGAGGCTCATCGAGGCTTGGGAATGCTGGGGGAGATCGAATCAAAGGACAGCCAAGCATATTCTAGCAATAGATTGAAGAATGGAGGTTCGAATCGTTGCAAATCGACTTTTGACGACTTTCCCGAGTTTGTCGCAAAACTGGGTAGTATGGTGAAGGTTCTGGCCACGTTTCCAAGGCTGATCATCGTCGATATTGATCAAGGAAGCGATGTAGATGATCAAATGGCTTTGTACCTCACGAAATCGTCACTGAATGGCAACAAGGATGAAGGCAGTGAGGATTTGAAGAATGGTGAAGAACGTTTGGGATGCACTTTTGAAGACCCATTTTGGGCACCCTCAGGTCATATTTTGGCTTGCAAAATCATACAAGCTTTGAGGTCAAAGCTTTTTGAAGAGGGGGAGCCTGATATGATCCCAAATCGGCCGCTCTACAAGTTGGGATTACTTAATGAAGAAGCAAGCTCAAACTGCCTGAAGAACATTCATTTTTGTCAGTGTCATTTTCCGTGTTCAGGCAGCCGACTTTGGAGGCAGGTTTCTCTTAATTGGCTCAATGGAAATTCAAGTTTAATGGCTTGTATTGAACATGGAATGATTATCTACACACTGGTATGCTTGGTTGCTCAATTAGAAGTCATTAAGGTTGTTTTCCAAGGCCTCAAAAATGCCACCTCAAAACTGGAAAACTGCCAGAAAATGGCTAAGGCAGAAAACTGTGTTGAGATACCAACTTTGGAGGCCTATATCTGGAGTTTGGGGAATGATCTCGAGCTGTTTCAAGTTGGAGGTGAAAGAGGGAGTTTTCTTCTACAGAGGAAAGGAATTGGTTGAGTTTGAGTCAACTTGGAAGGCTTTGATCGAGAGGCTCAAAGATGTCATCAAAGCTGTTTGGTTACTTGGAGTTAAAGGCAGATTTTCCTTTTCTTGTTTAGTTAGGATTTCGTTGTTTTGGTAGTTTTTTATTCCTTTTCGTATTAGACTGTAATTAGGAGTTTATGGGACGTGTGTAACCCTAGCTAGGCCTATTTAAGCTTTCTATTTCGTTGTAAAACTCAGAGTTGATTGAATAGAAAAGAAACCGTTTGGTTTTGCAAGTTTGCGAACTTGTTTTGGGTTTGGTGGATTCCAAACTTGCTGAGCTTGTGTATCGATTGAATAGTCACTTCAATCGTGGTCGAGCAACTACCCTTTATACCAATCGAGCTATCCCCAGGTGTGGATTTGTCCTTTTGGTTCCGTTTTATCCAAGTTCGTATTAAGAACGCTTCGTTCTTGATTCGAGCTCAATCGATTCCTCGATTGAGTCGTTGCTGCGTTACTTTGATAAAAATACACCCTCCAGGGTCGTATCAATGACGATGTTTGCGCTCAGCACAACCATTTTGTTCGGGTGTATAAGGACAAGACGAACGATGAGAAATACCATGTTTAAGAAGATATGACGTCAAAGCCTGGTATTCCCCACCCCAATCGGATTGAAAAACTTTGATGGGTAAAGAGAAGAATTTTTCAACCATTTGACGAAATTGAATGAACACACTAAGCAATTGTGATTTATAGCGCACAAAGTAGATCCAAGAAAATTTGCTATAGTGATCATAAAATAAAATGTAGTAGGATTGATCATCATAGGAAAGAACAGGAGCAGGGCCCCAAACATCACTACAAACCAATTCTAAAGGAGCATTTGCTTTGAACGTGGAAGTGGGAAATGGAAGTTTGTGAATTTTGCTAACCGCACATCCATGACACAACGAAGAGGGACTAGAGACAAAATTTATTTGATGGTGGCGGAGAGCACTTTTGACAGCAGGCAAATTAGCATGACCAAGACGTTGGTGCCAAGTGTCGAGAGAGGCGAGACAAGCTTGAGGAGAGAGACTGCGGGACACGTGGAGGGGCAAAGAATACAGTCCATCCACTGCAAAGCCGCGATACAACTTAGCGTTTGTTCGACGGTCCTTGATAACAAAAGAAGAGTCGAAAAATTCAATGGAGACTGGGTTAGAACGAGTGAGGGAATTAATGGACAACAAGTTGTATGGAGCATTTTTGACATGAAGAATATTATCAAGAGAGAGGGAAGCATCAGATAAGGTAGCACGAGAAGAACCAGAGTGAGAAATAGGAAGGGAGTTACCGTTGCCAAACAGGACCCGATCAGTACCATTGTACTCGGAGTGATGAGCCAAGTTGTCTAAATCAGAAGTCAAGTGGTGGCTTGTACCGGAGTCGATAAGCCATTGCCGAGGATTAAAAGGTTGAGCTGGGCTGGAGGCTAAATAGGCATGTGGAACAGGAGGGATATGGGAGAGTCCAGGCTGCGAAAGTGGGGCGGAGTGGGCCGGGAGGGCAGGAGGCTGAGATGGGCCGGAGGGGATGGATGGGCTCGGACAGTGAGGACGTATATGGCCCCGACCACCACAGTTATGACACACCAGGTGTTGATGAGAGACTTTGGGCCTGGCCCCAAGCAAACCCACCGCTGGCCTGTCAAACAAAACAGGAGAAGAAGAATAATTGGGGTTAGATGAGCCACGGCCTCTGCCGGCGCCGCGTCCGTTGCCTCTGCCGCCTCGACCGCGCGAACCAGCAAAGCCACCAGGGTGGGAGAAGAAGGCAACCGGCGCGGGTTGGAAAGTGACGCTATGATAGCGCTTCAGCTGGGACTCTTCACTGAGGAGAAGAGAGTGGAGATCTTCAAAGGAAATCGGCTCCATCTTTGATTCCAAGTGGCGAACAAAGGGCCGATAGTCTTCGCCAAGACCATCTGTAATCCAGCCGACCAGATCATCAGGTCGCACAGGCGCTCCAAGAGCCGCCAATTGATCAGCCTTCGATTTCGCCGTCTGGAGATATTCATGAATGCCCATATCGCCACGACGCAAGTGTTGCAGCTCTTTGGTGAGATGGCGAATCTGGATTTTGGAACCTGAAGCATAGATTCGTGCTAAGGCCGACCACGCATCAAATGCAGTGGTCTTGTTGATGATGTTGGACATGACAGCCTCGGATAGAGAATGAGTAATCCAAATGAGGACTAGTTGATCACGATCATACCAATGCAGATATGCCGGATTGGGCTGATCATTGAGAAGCTGTGGTGGGGCAGGAAGCGTACCATCAACATGGCCCATGAGATGATAACAGCGCAGGAGAGGGGTTATTTGAGCATGCCACAATAAATAATTGGTTGGGGTGAGTTTGATAGATAGCTGGGGATTAGCAGGGAGGGCGAGAGTGAGGGAAGGGGAAAGGGAAGAACCAGAAACGCCAGAAGGAGTGGTTGAAGATTGAGGGGAAGAATCGATAGACATGGTAGCAATGAGCAAAGGGAAGAAAGAAAGAAAGAAAGAAAGGCTCGTTAGAGAATGAGCTCTGATACCATAAAGATGCACTAAGGCTTGAGTTGTATTATTCAGTATCTCAACAATATATATAGTACATGTACACGTGAGGTAAGGAACTGAAAAGAGATTTACAAGGGAAACAAGTAGCTGTTGTAACAGAAAGCAAGTAGTGAGTAACGTGGGAAAGTGGACTGCAGTAGAATAGGAAGGTTGTTCCTTATCACTATCCCCGCCGCCGCCTTCTTCTTCTTCTCCTCGGAATTGAGCCAACAAGGCCAACAACTGCCGATGCCCCCACTCGTCCCCGCAATCATCCACCGGTGGCTCCTCCTTCGGCGGCAGTAGTGCCAGCCGGTCTCGGCAAAGTGGGCACGAAGTCACGCCGCGACCTGCTGCAGCCGCCGCAGTCAGCCATTTGTCGACGCAATCCCGGTGGAACAAATGCTTGCAATCCAGCCTCCGCACGCTTTCCCCTCTCGCAAACTCCGACAGGCACACCGCGCATTCCGCCGATTTCGGGTTCTCCGCCTCCGAGTAGGATGTCGCCGGGTACTTTGCTTCGATCGTTTTTCCAAGCTGGGTCATGGGCGGCGCGTCCAACCTTGAAGCGGAACGGAGGATGAGCCGGAGTTTGATGAGAAGGAGGCCGGAGAAGAAACGGGCGACTATGTAAAGTTCGGAGAAGATGGTTGGGAGAATAATAAAGGTCGCCATATATTATTTAAAGTTATGAATTGAAACCAAAAGATGTGAAGATGGCTAGGGGTTTATAAAGTTTTGATCGATTTTCTGGTTTCTCCATTTCAAATCTTATTATCATTATAAGATCCAACACATACCAGTTTTTTTAGTCCTTTTTCCCATATTTCGTTTTGTTAGTTGGTGCATTCAGTATACTTGGTTGCTTGGATGTGTTAAAATAGTAATGGTTTGATGATTTTTGTTTGACGATTATTTCTCCGGCTAGTGCTTTGTCTTATTCCTGGACGGCATATGATTAGGGGCCGGGTTATGATAGTATAAAGTTTAACTTGTTTGTCTGGTCGAGCAAGTGGATTAAGGATTAATCTGTAATTGTTTTAGCTCGGTTTAGTTTAGATATATGAAAAAATCATTATATTGTTCATATAATTTATAAATTTTATATCAAATTTCAGCTAGGATATAAGTAATTAATATCATATAACATCACACCAAAATAATAAGGAGTACTTAAATCCAACATATGATAAAAATTCACATGCACTTATATAACATCAATATTTAGATATTTAAATTAAAATTCCAAAGATAGAGTTAAGTGAAGAGTAAAATCGAAAAAGAAGCACAATTTGCAAATCGAAAGAAAAAAAAACCATATCATGTGACCTCCATCCGAAAACCTTGCAGCGGGTCAACCCGTTGTTGTGTGTGGACCGTTTTTCTAATCGAGGCATGGTCAAAATGGATCAACCACGGGGTTGATCCGTGGATTGATGACAACCTTGATATTACATAGTACATATTGGCTAGAACCCGTCTTATTATCCCAAAGAATCAAGAGCACTTCTATTATGCTATATAGCATTGGTGCTTTAATGTACAACTTAAAGTTGTACCTTAACATTAAATGTATAAGTTTAGGTTGTACCATAAAGCAATTTGTATCATTATGTTATGGTGCAACTTTACAACTTGAAGTTGTACCATCACATAAAGGTACAAGCTCAAGTTGTACCATAAAAGAATTTGTCCCAAAAGTATAGGTACAATCTGAAGTTGTACCATAACGTAAATGTACAATTTTAAATTGTACCATAAAAGCAAAAACCTATAACACCAATACTATATAGTATTGTAGAATTTCTCCAGAATCAAAGGGTGGTTATTAAGACTGCACAATTCAACGAAGTTAGATCATTGATGCGCTTATTTTTGGTAAGATGGACCAGTCAAATAGTTGGAATCAAGACAGCACAAAACCGGCCAAGTGGCAATCCATAAAATTTTGCCTGAAATTAATGTAGAACTTCATAATTGAATTTTAGTTTCTTATAATAGTTGAGATTAATGATTGATTTTAATTTTTCTTGATCGGATTGTATATTTGACGGTTTAATTTAACTTGAAAATAATTTCGTTGGACTCTACAATAATATATGTCAGAATCTGCTTCGATCAACGAAGTTGTGACAAGTCGATGGGTGTTTCAATATGGTCCTTGGTACTATCAGCCATCAGGCAACCAGGTCTTCCTCCGCAAATGGGCTCCCGGCATTCAACCGGTTTAGAATGGGTTGCAAGTACTCCTGGACCTCCTTTGTGGATGGATCAAACAATGAGAGTGGGTGGACTTAAAGTTCGGGTTTGTTTAAGGTTTGTGTTGATTTAGCTGCAGGTTGTGGATTTCATTCGAATGGTCGTCTCTAGGGATGGCAATGGGTCGGCTTGGGTCGGGTTTTGCCAAACCCAAACCCAAACCCATGGGTTTATCTTTGAAAAAAACCCGGGGTAAAACCCACTGGGTTTGAAAAACTCAAACCCAACCCAACCCGTTGGGTATCCGCGGGTTCATGGGTACCCACGGGTTTTGTCGTAAAAATTTATAATTACAAGTTCTTATCAAAATTAAAGTCAAATATCAATCTCTCAATACAAATTATCCATATATAAAACACCATTCTAGAAAATTCAAGCAAATCACAAATTAACTATACAAATTGTTCAACACCAATCTAGAAAACTCAAAAAAATTGAAGCAAATCACAAATTTTCCATAAATGACATGTTTAATTGAAAGCTTCTTCCTTTCAATTAAGTTTCTTTACTCTCCACTCCATAACATCAACTTCATTCTACACAATTAAAAAGAAAAAATTAGACATGTCTCCACAAACATAAATAAAATTAGTTGTTGAGAATATTAAATATACCAAAAAAATTAATTATATGGGTGGGCGGGTACCCACGGGCCGGGTTTACCTAAACCCAAACCCAACCCAACCCGTTGAATAGTGAACGGGTTTAAACCCAAACCCGGCCCAAAACCCGTCAACACGGATTTTACCCGCGTTGACCGGGTTGGGTCGGGCGGGTACCCGTGGGTTCGGGTTTTGTTGCCATCCCTAGTCGTCTCTATCATGATGACGATCCCTCTTTCGAGGTTGAAGAGGAATATTTGAACAAGCCAATATTAGTATGTCCGTCCAGTGAAATCTTTGGGCATAATTGTAAGAAGTTAGCACTAGGAAATAGGAAGTGGGTTCCTAAGGTCCTCTGGTGCTAAAGAAGTGTGTTTCTATGGACTCAAACAAGCTTCCCGTCAATGTATGGTATCACAAATTTCATCAAGTTATTAGCTCATATAGTTTTGAGACTGATCTTGTTGACGATCGTGTATATCACAAGTTCAGTGGGAGTAAATTTATTTTCCTTGTGTTATATGTTAATGACATTCTACTTGGCAGTAGTGATAGACTTACTACACGAAACCAAGAAATTTATGACGAAAAATTTCGAAATGAAAGATTTTGGTGACGCCTATTTTGTATTGGGTATTGAGATACTGAGAGTTCGCTCTCGTGGTATTCTCAAATTATCAGCTATATCGATAATATTTTGAGTAGATTCAACATGAAAGATTGTACCCCAGCAAATACACCAGTAGCCAAAGAAGACAAGTTCAGTCTCGCTCAATGCCCGACAAACAATCTAGAAAGAGCGAAAAGGCTGAAGATTCCTTATTCTTAGTAGGAGTACTGGGCAGATACTCAAAGGATCCACACATGGATTATTGGAAGGCAGTCAAGCGTGTGATGCGCTATTTAAAGAGAACAAGGAAATACATGCTTACTTATTAGAGATCAGATAGTCTGAAGGTCATTGGGTATTCTGACTCTGATTTTGCTGGAAGCCAAGATAGCATGCGATCTAGATTTAACTATATCTTCGTGTTGGCTGGAGGGGCCACTTCTTGGAGGTATGCTAAGCAGCGTCTTATAGCTCCTTCCACCATGGCAGTAGAGTTTATAGCTTGTTATGAGGCATCTGATCATGGATAGTCGCTGCGAAATTGTGTCACGGGGCTGCGTGTGGTAAACAACATTGAGAGGCCATTGAAGATTTATTGTGACAATAATGCAGTAGTGTCGTACTCTAATAACAACATGAGTTCGACAAAGTCAAAGTTTATCGATATCAAATACATGCTTGTTAAGGAGAGGGTTCAAAATAGACGGATTCTATAGAACATATTAGGACTAAGTATATGCTTGCTGACTGATGACTCGGCATTTGCACATGTTTCCCCATTTTTTTCTTGATCGTTTAAGCTCGCATTATCGCTTCTTTGGCCAATTTTATGATAGGTTCTGTTCCTTTGTCACATTTCAGGTCCTAGCTAGCACATAAAGTTAAGCATAGGCGCAAGTTTCAAGTCAATCGGAGATCAATTGGCGACTCGGGGTAAGAAACTCGGGCATGACCTGAAGAAGAATGGATTTCTACCACACTTTGTGACCATAGAATCATGTAATCTTTTCATGAGAATAAAGAGGATGAGACTACAAGCGTCTTGGATCAAACGACACCTTATTTGAAGTCCAAATGAGGGAGAAACGAAGAATCAAAGATAGGGGACCCGAAATTGAAAAATACCCGCCCAGTAGGTTCAAAATACCCGGCCGGGCATTTTGACCATCTGATAGGGTATTTTTGGCGGTATCAGAAGGACCCCCGGTCGTGAACCAAAAATACCCGACCGGGTATTTTCCCTTTTGCCCAAAAATGTGACCCGGTGCATTTTGTTTATACCCGACTGATTCCCTAAATACCCGACCGGGTATTTGGACCGGGTTTCGCGAACGCAGGCTGTAAAAAGCATGTTTCGTGCGTTTTTGGAGTGAAAGAGCTGGGTTTTGGATCCCAAACACCCAAGGGACGAACAAAAGAGAGAGGGAGCGATTTGAGGGCAATCTTGGAGTGGAATTGGAGGATTTCTTCGCCTAGGAAGCTCGAGAAACAAGCCCGAACTTGAAAACTGATCATCTGAAGATTCTTACAGCAGTCTCTCACTTCTCTATGGAGTAACTTCCCTTCACTTAGGTTTTTGAGGAGCCCTAGCCATATTTCGGGAAAAAGATAGATTTTCAAACCGCATATACCATCAATTTATAACTATTCTATCTATAGTATATAAGATGATGATAACAGATGCGTGTGTGTATATATATATGGTGACTACGTCGGTGCACTCACAAAAATGAGTGCGTTCAATGCACTCAACTCAAAAACTAGTCTTAAAGTGTCGGATATTGAATTTTAATTTGTAGAATTAGTGTAATATGATGATATGACATATGATACCAACTAATTAGCGGATTACCCTAAGCCCTAGACCTCCAATTTTGAGTTCTATCCCTAAACCCCAAATTGTAAACCATAACCCTAACCCTAAATCTCTAAACTCTAAGCAATTGATCCACTACTATCAATCTATGGTGCTCTATTGACCTAATCAGGTGTTCGCTCTCATAGGATCAAAGCAGAATCAATAATCTCGACTAAAGCAGAATTGAATCGTGAAAACATGCATAGATTGAATATGAACTCAAGATTATCAAGTCAGAGTACTCATACAATCATCCAATCAAACAAACATGGCTAGGGTTCCTCAAAACCTAAGTGAAGGGAAGTTACTCCATAGAGAAGAGAGAGACTGCAGTAAGAATCTTCAG